GCGAGCAGGGACTGGGGATGGAGGGCGCGAGCAGGGATTGGGGATGGAGGGCGCGAGCAGGGACTGGGGATGGAGGGCGCGAGCAGGGACTGGGGATGGAGGGCGCGAGCAGGGACTGGGGATGGAGGGAGCGAGCAGGGACTGGGGATGGAGGGAGCGAGCAGGGACTGGGGATGGAGGGAGCGAGCAGGGACTGGGGATGGAGGGAGCGAGCAGGGATTGGGGATGGAGGGAGCGAGCAGGGACTGGGGATGGAGGGAGCGAGCAGGGACTGGGGATGGAGGGCGCGCGGCCGGAGCGAGCGCCAGGTGCCCGTGTCCCGCACACGCGGCCGGGCTGCCGGGGTCCTGCTCCGAAGCGGCCGGGGCGGGAAGGAGCCCCGGGAGGGGAAGGAGCCCCCGGGACACAGGGACGTGGGAAGCAGCAGGACAGGCCCAGGGTGCGCGAGGGGCTGGGAGCCGGGAGCGAGCACGGAGAGAGCTGGGAGCGAGCAGGAATGAGCCCGGGAATGAGCATGGAGCGAGGCGGGAAGGAGCCGGGAAGGAGCCGGGAAGGAGCCGGGAAGCACGTGCACAGAGCGAGCGGCAGCAGCACCGAGGCTGCGGGGACACGAGGGACACGCGAGGGACACGCGAGGGACACGCGTGTGCAGGGAGCGCACACGGGGACCGTGCACGGGGGCCTCACACGAGGACCACACAGAGCCCTCGCACGAGGCCCTCGCACGACGGGCTGTGCACAAGCTCCACACACAGCTCTTGCACGGGCCCCTTGCACGAGGGTGCCACGTGCAAGCCGCACGCACGGCCCCGTGCGACACACACAGCCCCACGTGCAGCCCCGTGCAAGGCCCCGTGCAACATGTACAGCCCTGTGCAAGGTCCCGTGTGACACGTGTAGCCTAGTGCGAGGTCCTGTGTGACACGTGTAGCCCCGTGCGAGGTCCCGTGTGACACGTGTGCAGCCCCGTGCGAGGTCCCGTGTGACACGTGTGCAGCCCCGTGCAACACGCGTGGCCCCGTGCAAGGTCCCGTGTGACACGTGTAGCCTCGTGCAAGGCCCCGTGCAACACGTACAGCCCCGTGCAACACACACAGCCCCATGTGAAGCCCCGTGCGACACGTACAGCCCCGTGCAAGGCCCCATGTGACACGTGTGCAGCCCCATGCAACACGCGTGGCCCCGTGCGACACGTGTAGCCTCGTGCAAGCCCCCGTGCAACACGTACAGCCCCGTGTGAGGTCCCGTGCAACACGCGTGGCCCTGTGCAAGGCAGCCCCGTTGCACCGGAGCCCCCCCGGTTGCGCAGAGCCCCCCTCCCGGTTGCACCGGAGCCCCCC